ATGGGACTGGCAAAAAACAGACACACAGATCAACAGAATAGAAAACCTCCAAATAAACCTGTAATTATATGGCGAATTAATCTTTGACAAAAGAGGAATGCGTATACAACAGGAAAAAGACTATCTCTTCAACAAATGGTGTTGAGGAAACTGGACAGCCACATGCAAAAGAATGAAAGCGGATCACTTTCTTTCACCATCTGTAAAAATAAACTCAAAATGAATTAAAGTCCTCAATGTGAGACCTGAAACCATAAAAGTTCTTGAAGAGAGTATAGGCAATAATTTCTCTGATACTGGCTATAGTAATTACCTTTTTCTAGAGATATCTTCTGAAGCAAGGGAAATAAAAGCAAAAATAAACTAGGGACTACATCAAAATAAAGACTGTGCACAGCTAAGGAAACAATCAACAAAACTAAAAGGCAATTTACTGAATAGAAGATATTTACAAATGACACATCCAATAAAGGGTTAGTATCCAAAATATATAAAGAACTGATACAACTCAATACCCCTAAATCAAATAATCCAATTAAAAATGGGCAGAAGACAAGAACAGACATTTCTCCAAAGACATCCAGAAGACAGCCAACCGACACATGAAAAGATGGCTCTACATCACTCATCATCAGGGAAATGCAAATAAGAACTACAGTGAGGTATCACCTCACATCTGTGAAAATGCCTAAAATAAAAAATACAAGAGACAAGTGTTGGCAAGGATGTGGAGAAGAAGGAACCATCTTACATTGTTGGTGAGAATGCAAACTAGTGCAGCCACTGTGGAAAACAGTATGGAGGTTGCTCAAAAAGTTAAAAATAGAACTACCCTTCAGTCCAGTAATTGCAGTACTTGGTATTTATCCAAAAATACTTACTGAAAGAGATACATGCACCCCTATGTTTACTGCAGCGTTATTTACAATTAGCCAAACTATGGAAGCAGCCCAAGTATCCATTGAAAGATAAATGGATAAGGAAGATGGGGGGGATATATATCTATATATCCATATATAGATATATATGGATAATCCATATATAATGGATATGGATATCCATATATGGATATATATAAAAATATATTCCATATTTACTGGAATAATATATACCTTTATATAAATATAAACATATACAAAGAATATAAAGAAGATGTGGTATAGATGTATATATATTTTAATGGAATATAATTCACCCATAAAAGGAATGGAATCTTCCACTTGTAACAACACAGATAGAGCTAGAGAGTTTAATGTGAAGCAAAGTAAGTTCAGTCCAATAAGACAAATACCATATGATCTCACTCGTGGAATTTAAGAAACAAAACAATGAGCAAAGGAAAAGAGAGAGAGACAAACCAAGAAACAGATTTTGAACTATAGAGAACAAACTGATGGTGATCAGAGGGGACGTGGGTGGGGGAATCGGGGAAATAGGGGATGGGGATTAAAGAGTACACTTATCATGATGAAATAAAATGTAAAAAATAATTAAAAAAACCACAAACCAATATTCTTTGTGAACTTAGATGCAAAATGTCTTTCCAAAATGGTAGTAAACCAAATCCAATGTTATGTAAAAATTACAGTTCATCATGAGCAAGTGTGGTATATCTCAGGAAGGATGGGTTAACATCCCAAAATCAATGTAATTTACTATATTCACAAATGAAAAAAAATCATGTCAACAGATACAGTGAACACATTTGACAAAATCACATACTTATTCTTGATGAACTCTTAGAAGGGAGCTTCCTCATCCTGATAAAGGGTATCTACGAAAATCCTACTGGTAACATCATAATTAGTGGCAAAGGACTCAATGCTACCTCTCTAAGATCAGAAGCAAGACAAGGATGTTTGCTTTCACGACCCTGATTTAACATTGTACTGGAAATCCTAGCCAGGGAAGAAAAAGAAATGGAACACATCCATGCTGGAAAGAAGGATACATTATTATTCATAGACAGAATGAACATCTATGAAGAAAATCCATTGCAATTTACAAAAAAGCTATTGGAATAAATGCATTTAGCCAGTTTGCAGGATACATGATCAATACAGAAAAAGGAACTGCACTTCTTTATACTAGCAACAAGTAATCAGAAATTGAAATTAAATAAGCAATACCATTTGCAAGAGTATCAAAATGTATTAAAAGTTAGGAATCAATCTGACAAAAGATGTGCAAGACTTGTATACTGAAACTATAAAATATTGACAAAAAACTTAACATAGACCTAAATAAATGGAGAGTCATAGTGTTTGTGCATTGGAAAAGTCAATCTTTTAAAAATGTGAGTGCCAAAATTGATCTATAGTTTCAAGACAATTATTTAAAAATTTTTAATTTTTAATTTTTTAAACTTAATTAAAAAATTTTAATGTCTATTTGTTTTTGAGAGAGAGACAGAGAATGAGCCAGGGAGGGGCAGAGAGAGAGAGGGAGACACAGAATCCGAGCTGTCAGGACAGAGCCTGATGCGGGGCTCCAACCCATGAACCGTTAGATCATGACCCAAGCCAAAGTCAGATACTTAACTGACTAAGCCACCCAGGCGTCCCTAATTTCAACACAATCTTAATCAAAATCCCAACAGGCTTTTTCATTTTTTGTAGAAACTGACAAGTTAATTCTAAAAGTCACAGGGAAATGCAAAAGAGTTATAAGAAACAACTTTGAAAAGAACAAATCCAGAAATATATACATATATAAAATTTCATAATATACATACAAAATATATTTGCAAATATACAAAAACATATGTACACATATATACAAAAAGGATTTGTGTATATATTTCTGGATTTTCTATTCTATTAACAGACAAGTGATCTTCGAACAACACGGGTTTGAACTGCACAGGTCCACTTAAACGCAAATTGATGAACGCAGCAGAGTATACTATAGATGTATTTTCTTTTCCTTATGATTTTCTTAGTAACATTTTTTTTCCTCTGGCTTATTTTATCGTATGAGTACAGTATATAATACATATAAAATACAAACTATGTATTTATCTACTATTTAAGTTATCAGTAAGGCTTCCAATCAGCAGTAGACTACTCGTAATTACGTTTTAAGGAAGTTAAAATTTATACATGGATTTCTGACTGCAGAGGGATGGTCGGTGCCCCAAGCCCCCATATTGTTCAAGGTCAACTATATACAGTATTTTCTACAAGTTGTAATTGTCCATCTTAAATGTGTGCATTTTGGGGCACCTGGGTGGCTCAGTCAGTTGAGGGTTCGATTTTGGCTCAGGTCATGATCTCACGGTCTGTGAGTTCGAGCCCCGCGTTGGGCTCTATGCTGACAGCTCAGAGCCTGGAGCCTGCTTAGGATTCTTTGCCCCTCCCTCACTCACACTCTGTCCCTGTCTCTCAACAATAAGAACATTTACAAAATTAAATACGTGCAGTATGTTATACATCAAGTATACTTTGGTAACATTTAAAAAAAATCTATCAAATGAGCTGATCTGAGGGTGCTGGCCCTTATTCTAATTCTAGCAGTGGCCCTGGAGTCAGTCAGGTGCTCCTAGTCCAGTGCATTGTACCGGAATTTTAGATATTTGTACACAGAAAAACAACCTCAGTCCATACGTTTTACCATATACGAAAGCTAGCTCAAAATGGATCATAGAACCAATGAACTCTAAAACTATAACGTACCAAAAGCCAACACAGGAGAAAGCCTTTCTGATCTCGGGTAAGACAAAGAATTCTTAGAAACAACGCCAAAGCACAACACACAAAAGTCCAATTGGTAAATTCGACTTGCTCAAGCTTCAGAACTTTAGCTCCTGAGACGCACTACTAGGGCGATGACCGAAGCCGCGGAGTGGGGGCAAATCAAACACCGGACCAGGGCTTCTGTCCGACACGTAGAAAGAATTCTTAACACCCAATAAGAAGAGAACAAATAGCTCAATTTTTAACAAATGGGCAAGGAATTTGAAAAGACGCTTCAACAGAGAAGATAGACACATGCAAGCAAGCACATGCCCAGATGCTCGACACCGCCAGTTATCAGGGAAGTTGAAACAAAACCACCATGAAGTACCACTACACACCCACAAGAAAGGCTGAAGTGACCGTTTCCAGGGTTGGGAGGATGTGGGGACGGAAAATGTTCATAGGCTGCTTTGTAAATCAAGTAACCAGTTTGGAAAAGAGTTTGGCAGTTCTTTGAAAATTAAATGGACACTTACTGTATCTTCCAGTTTCTTTGCTCCCACGTATTTCCCCAATGGAAGCCGTATGTCCATGGAAGATATACATGAATATGCATAGCAGCTTTATTTAAAATAGCCCCCACCTGAAACAACCTAAATGTCCATTATTGGGTGAATGGATATACTGTGGCATAACCATAGTATGGAATATTATTCACCCATGGAAAGAAATGAAGTATTTATCTATGCAACAACACAAATGAGTCTCAAGATAACCATGCTGAGAAAAAGCAACCAGACAGAAAAAATACATATTGTATGTTTCCATTTATATAAAATGCTAGGAAATTCAAATGAATCTAAGGTGGTTGCTTGGGGAAGGGGACAGATTACCCAGGAAACATCTGTGGGTGAACAGACATGTTCATTATGCCCATTGTGATGTTTTCACAGGTGTATCCATACATCGAAACTTTCCTAATTGTCATTTTAATTATGTGCAGTGTATTACACGTCAAGTACACCTTAGGAACATGTAAAAAATCTATCCTGTGAGCTGATCTGGCCGTGGCTTTGGAGTCAGTCGGGCGGTGCTGTTTCAGTCCATGAGGACTGTCTGAATTGGGGCCAGCCTGAGTTTTCTTGGCTTTTCTAAGAATTGCTGCTGGCCAAGCACTGCTGATACGCTGTTCTGGTTACTCTCGCTTACTCCGGAAAAGAATACAGAAAATCAATGACATCAAAATTGAGGATCATGTTTATATACTGCTTTACTCACTTTCAGGTGACTGTATTCACTTTCGGCGCCCTGCTTCTCTTCCAGGGATGGAGCATTCTCTGTCACTTCGGTCTGGCCCTCCGATTCTATCCCTGTAAGGAGAAAGGAAATGCCCCGCATGTTTAAAGTAAGCACACAGGCTACCACGGCTCTCCTGGCTGCACATTTGGTTTCCCTCCTTTCTCGCCTGTCTGTAGGGGGTCAAAGCTCCTTGTGCTGCTCAAGGTCACTGGAGGTGGAGATTTCAGAAGTACTCAGGGATCACGTCCCCCTTTCTACCTTCCACTTGCCACAATAAACCTATGGCCCTATTCCTATTTGGGGATAATGTAAAGAGCTCTTTACCTAAGCCACACTCTTTTCATCCTACAGTTAAATCTATGCCTTAAAATGCAAATGTTCCCGAGAGGGTCCATTCATTCTACCGGAAGGTAACAGGACAGATGTCAGGTTTATAGCTGAAAACAGGAGAAGCTTACAAAGCAGAATGGTATTGGGAGTATGAGCACAGAGGGAAAACACAGTGACAGAGAAAGAAGGATGACCTTCAAGGTCATCATGACCAACCACAGTTCATTGTGCAGTAGCATGAATGTGCCGCTTCTGAAACCAGAGCACTTTGTAAAATAGTTTCCTCTGAAGCAACCTTTTAAGTCAATTCAAATTCAAACCAAGAGTACAACATTAAAAAATCAAGGAGGGATGCATTTTGCAATCTCTCTCTCTTTTTTAATCTTTTTAATGTTTATTTTTGAGAGAGAGAAAGAAAAAGAATGTGAGTAGGGAAGGAGTAGAGAGAGAGGGAGACACAGCATCTGAAATAGGCTCGAGGCTCAGAGCTGTCAGCACAGAGCCCGACGCGGGGCTCGGACTCACCAACCGTGAGATCATGACTTAAGCTGAAGTCGGACACTTAACCGACTGAGCCACCCAGGCGTGCCGCATTTTGCAATCTCTTAAGAAATAAACACCCCACTGTTTAAAATTCATATAAAAACTGAAGTGATTCTGGAAGTGATTCTTTACCTATAAAGTGACAAAGGAAACAAAGGCCTGCTGTCCCCTGGTGACCCAGGTGCTTATAGTCAACCCATGAGTCTCGTAGTTAACAAAGGCTGCAAATTCCTAGTTCTGTAGTCCTGGGGTAGAAATCTATCTACCCAGCCACCCAGAAACCCTGCCAACGGACCTGGTCATTGGGCACTGGCTGATGACGCGGGAATCACGCCACTGCTGATGCTTAAAAAAGAAATCCTACCTATAAATTTTGAGTGCTGCTAGGCTAAGTATACATTTTTAAATTTAAATTTTACTTGTCATTTACTAGTAATGATGTAAGTCACAGGCACGTAGCAGCCAGGAAAGCAAAGTACTTCTGAGTATTTGTGACTTAACAACAAAGGGTCCCTGAATGCTGCATAATGTCAACGCTGATTATGATGACTGCAATTAAGACCCATTGCCTGATTGCAATTAAGATGTTTATCAAAAGGTGCAAAGCTGTGTCTAGAATTGAAGAAGCAGAGAGGCTCAGCGTGGGAGCTCTGGCTACAGACTGTCAGCAGTTTTCCCTGCAGTGCCTGGCTTCTCACCTGTAAAATGGACAGAATAGTGGTGTCCACCTGCTGAGTTTTCCGTGGGGATTAAATCAATTAACACACATACATTTCTTAGAGCAGTTCCTGATACAAAATCAATGCTCAGTCGATGGTAACTATTGTCACTGCAGAAGCACAGGATTAATTGGAGTACTGAGTATTTTTAGGAGGATCACGATAGAAGTGATTCTGACATTTCACTTCTGGCCCGGGTTCTGATGCTGACATCATTTATTCTACTAACCAGGAAGAGGGTGACAGTATTAGAAGTGTCATCACCAGTGATGAGTTTGATGAAAAATGCTCAACAGCTGGCATCAAGAGTTCCGCTTCCTTATAACTGAGACATTCCTTAAATCATTGCAGGTCACAGCTTCCCAGCTCTCGGTGCCTGGCAATAGGTACTCAGTGCCAATCCTAGCAGACAGCGAGGATGACAAGTGTGAGTGGGTGGGAGTGCTGAGTGACTTGCACAAGATGCTCAGAAAAAGTCACTGTCGAGACCGCTCAGTCTATGTCTTCAGAGAGGCTTATGACAGCAGTCTGCCCCTGATCAAAACCACCCAGACGGCTGCAATCATAGGTATGGACTTACAACATTTATGCCGGAGATCTATGCCTCACCACAACCTCCAGATCCAGCTCTGAAAACCGTAACTTTATTCACAACCCATTGGTCAGCAAAACCTGCCTGACTGAGGCTGTCGGAGGTCTCCCTCCACCCAACCCACCTGCCCATTACTACTCAGCAAAAATATGAATATATTTGATTACATGATGGTTCCCCAGGTCCTGAGTAAAATGATATTTCTTTTTTCTTTTTTTTTTTTAATTTTTAAAGATGTTTTATTTATTTCTGCAGCATGAGCAAGGGAGGGTCAGAAAGAGAGGGAGACACATAACCTGAAACAGGCTCCAGGCTCTGAGATAGGTGTCAGCACAGAGCCCGACACGGGGTCCAAACCCACAAACTGTGAGAGCATGACCTGAGCCAAAGTCGGACACTTAACCGACTGAGCCACCCAAGCACCCCGATGTTTCTTTTTTTTTTTTTTTAATGTTTTATTTATTTCTAGGAGAGAGAGAGAGACAGCGTGAGCAGGAGAGGGTCAGAGAGAGAGGGAGTCACAGACTGAAACAGGCTCCAGGCTCTGAGCTGGCAGTCAGCACAGAGCCCGACGCGGGGCTCGAACCCACGAACCGCGAGATCATGACCCAAGCGAAAGTCGGACGCTTAACCGACTAAGCCACCCAGGCGCCCCCCGATGTTTCTTTAATGTACACACAGTGATACCTTTGTTGGGTCTGATTAGTTCTGAGTTCCCAAATCCATCTGGCTCCCAGGGTATCACACCAGCAGTGTGGCCCTGTGTAGTAACTGTGAACTACCTACCTTGAGGATGGAGACTTTCATATCTGTATTCCCAGTACTCAGTAAATAAATGAGAAACAAGTGAGCCGATGAACAGATTGCTAAGATCGGTATTCAATAAACAGAATACTTTCGTCTCCCAAACATTATTTCTTCTGAAATAGAGCCACTTTGCCACTTAGTGCTATGTAACATAGAACCCGCTCCTACTATACTCGTGTTAAATGCAGATGCTGCCTGCTTTTCAGTTCTCTACAACATCAAGTGAGTTGATACACGTGCAGGTCTGTGCTTTGTATTCAGGCATTCGCTTATAAGTGCTATCTTTGCACTAGGAGTTTGAGTTGAGGCTGTGTTCGTACACACACCCCAGTGCTGTTACAGTTCAGGCCAAGAGCACCAGCAAATCCAATTAGAAATTTTTTTCATTCATGAGACAGTTAGGTACTTATAGGAAGTTATAGAATGTATCATTACTTAAGTATCATTCTTTATTCAAGTATTCATAAACTTTATAATTATATTTCTATTGAGAAAAAGTCGTTTTATTTTTACTTCTATAATCTGGAAGAAAAATAATGCAAATTAATTATTCTTACTATGTTTTCATTTTTATATATGCTGAATGTGTATCTAATTTGACTCCTAAATTTTTCAATATTGATAAATTTGTCCAGTTTACTTTAATTGCTTTACTTAACATTCACGCCCTAAAATCCTGGATATCCATATTTATGTCTTAAATACAGATCACAAAAGAATTGCTCTAGGAAATGAAGAAGGCTTATTTGTTGTACATGTCACTATAGATGGTAAGGAGAATCTTTACTCTAGTAACAATACCAGATTTATTCTCTTTTTTCTGTGAAATAAATGTTCCAGGTCTGGTTTGATGTGTTTTCAAAGGATTTTTTTAATGTTTATTTATTTTTGAGAGAGAGACAGAACACAAGCAGGGGAGGGGCAGAGAGAGAGGGAGACACAGAATCCAAAACAGGCTTCAGGCTCCAGGCTCTGAGCTGTCAGCACAGAGCCCGACTTGGGCTCGAACTCACAAGCCATGACATCATGACCTGAGCCGAAGTTGGACCCTTAACTGACTGAGCCCCTCAGGTGCCCCTGGCTGATGTTTTTTCAAGTCAAATGATGACTCTTCTAATATCCAGAGATCCATAATCCCCCAGAGTCTAAATATCTTCACAGGTGCCTTTATATAAGAAGTCCCCTGTAAGAACTCAGTTTACCGTCTTCCCAGTGGGACACAAAAGAAAACACAGTATATTCTGCTTGGTTCCGCCTCTCCCCCCACTGTTACATGGGTGGCACAATGAGTAAGAACATATAATTGAGTATTTCCTGGAGAAATGGGGACTAGATGAAGTCGAACAGAGCCATTCCCTACTGCTGTCCTCTTGAATGTCTGCCAGTGGTGGCTTAGCTGAGGAGAACCCGCAGGTCCATCAGCTGTGCTCCGCGTTGAAGGCCTTCCGCGCTGTGTGGGTGACACAGTCCTGAGGAGGCCCGAGAAGGATCCACCAGGTGTCCAGCATGAGAGCAGGAACTGGTCTCTTTGTGTGTGGCCACTGCACTCCACGCACTTAAGGAGCACCTGGCATGTAGTAGCTACTCAACACGTATTTGTGTGATAAAGGATCAATTTAATGCCAGAAAAAAGGATATTTTTTCCCCTAAAAAAGTAGCATGTTTCCAATTGTTGGACCTTGAGTGGTGTTTGCCCTACTGCCTAGAATCTTGGGTTTATGGTTACTTAATAAAATAAGTAAATAAATAACAATTCAACTCATTTACATTAATTATGCTTAATACATTAATTTTATTATTAAGGTAATTATATTACTTTTGGAATAATTACTTTCTTTTTTACCTAAGTGATTTTTGATCTCTGATCCTTCCCTCCTCTCCTTTTCTATACCTCTCAAACATATTCATCCTGACATTAGGTCTGTGATTCAACTAGAACCTGACTTAGATCCTTTGGACTAATAATTGGGACAGAATTTAAAAATAAGAAAACATTCTTCTTACAGTGAAGGAAACTAACTTTCAAATGGCTTCATTTTCAAGAAAATTAAAAGGCAGCTTACTGAATGAGAGAAAATATTTGCAAAGTCACATCTGGTTCAGGGTTAATATCTAAAATATATATTTAAAAAATCACACATCTCAATAGCCAAAAAAAAAAAAAAAGAACCCTCCAATCAGATTAAAAAATGGTCAAAGGATTTGAAGAGACATATTTTCCCCAGAAAAGACATATCAACAGCCAATAGGAACATGCAACAATGCTTAGCACCCCTAATCATCAGGGCAATGTAAATAAAAACTATGATATATCACTTCCTAAATGTTAGAATGCCTATTAGAAAGATTAGGAATAAAAAGCGGTGGCAAGATGTGGAGAAAAGAGAACTCTTGTACTCTGTTGCTGGGAATGTTATTCAGCTCAGCCACTATGAAAAACAGAATGGGAAGTTCCTCAAAAAATTATAAATGGAACTACTCTATGACCTAGCAATCCTAGTTCTGGCCATTTATCCAAAGAAAACAAAATCACTAACTAGAAAAGTTCACTGCAGATTTATTTATAATAACCAAGATATGGAAACAACCTAAATGTCCATCAGTGGATGGATGTATAAAAAGTGTGGTATACATACACAATGGAATATTATTTAGCCAAAAGAGGAGGGCGCTTGTGGGGATGAGCACTGGGTGATATATGGAAACCAATTTGACAATAAACTATTTGTAAAATAAATAAATAAATAAAAAGTACATAGTGAGGGTGGCACCCCCCCCCCTAAAAAAAAAGAACATCTTTCCATTTGTGATCATGGACAGACCTTGAGGGTACTAAGCTAAGTGAAATAAATCAGACAGAGACAAATGCTGTATGATGGCAGTTATATGTGGAATCTAAACAAGCAAAAAACCAAGCAAAACCACACACACACACACACACACACACACACACAAAAGATGCTCATAGAAAATGGAGAACAGAAAGGTGTTTGCCAGAAGTGGGGGGAGGGAGGGTGCAAAATGGATGAATGGGGTCAAAAGGCACAAACTTCCAGTTATAATAAAATGAATGAGTCTTGGGAGTACAACGTATAGCTAGGTAACTAGAGAGAATAATACTGTATTGCATATATGAAATATGCCAAGAAGGTAGGAGTAGATCTTAAAAATTCTCATCATAAGAACAAAAATTTTGTTAACTATGTTTGGTGCTGGATGTTAACTAGGCTTATTGTGGTGCTCATTTTGCAGTATATACACATATTGAATCATTCTGTTGTGCACCTGAAATTAAGATAATGGCATACCTCAGTTATACCTCATTTACAAAAATCTTTAAATAACAAGACATTGCTAATTTGAAAGTGACTTGCCATTTTATTTGTAAAGAATTCATTCAAGTTAATGACATTAAGATTCATGAGATCGTTTTAATTGGACCTTTTCCAATTGCCTTTGGGTAAAATTGAGAGAACATTCAAAACAAACAGATTATTTTGAATTTAAAAATGACTTATATTTATTTGTGCAGAAATCATTCGTGTTGGTGACATGAAGAAGATTCATCAGATTGAACTCATCCCCTGTGGCCAGACGGTTGCAGTGATCTCTGGGAGAAGTCGCCATGTGCAACTGTTCCCCATGTCAGCTCTGGATGGACGGAAGACTGACATTCACAAGCTGGAGGAAACCAAAGGGTGTCAAACAATGACTTCTGGAACAGTGTGCCAAGGGGCCCATACATGCCTCTGTGTAGCAAGGAAAAGCCAAGTCTTTTGTTATGAGCTGTTTCAGAGCAAGGAAATTTCTCATAGAAAATTTAAAGAGCTCCAAATCCCCACCAGTGTCCAGTGGATGGCCATCTTCAGTGAGCAGCTTTGTGTGGGATTCCAGTCAGGATTCCTGAGATACCCCTTGAGGAGAGAAGGGATTCCATACAGGATGCTGCACTCACATGACCCTACACTGTCATTTATTACACATCAACCAGAGGACGCTCTCTGTGCAGTTGAGATCTCCAGTATTGAATATCTGTTATGTTTTAGGAGCATTGGAATTTACACTGACAACCGGGGCCTCCGATCCAGGGCCGTTGAGCTGATGTGGCCAGCAACTCCAACCTGTTGCCGTAAGGCTGCTTTACAATCTGTTCCCTTCTCTTTCTGTATCTTTCCTTTAAAAATTACTTTTCTATATCCTCTAAACGACAGGCTTTATTTTTGAAAACAGCATCATTGAAGATTTCAGTTTTTCTGTCTTATTAAGTAGAATAGCTCTAATGAAGTTGTATCTAACTAATACATGTGATAACTTAGCCCTTAACTTTTACCATAGTCAGAGAAATTTTCCTTGAATATACCCTTAATCCAAATTGTTGCTTTTTGTAAGCTACATAGGTTATCTTCATGGTCACTGAAAATCATATACACATTAATTCACCGTAAGAAATAGTTACTGTATTATTTTTTTGCCTTTTAGAAAGCTTAGTCTCTGTAAAGTATGCATATAATGTTCCTAAATAATTTTAGCTCATTTCATATTTTATGGATGCGGGCCATCATTTTATAAATTAAATACAGTCTTTTTTATTCACTTAGAGAATAGTATCCATCACTTAATATGAGCAACTTACTCTGCCACGGGTCGAGTCACAATGTTAAACATAAGACTAGTCTGTCCATACGGAGGTTATAATCATGAGATGAGACCCATAATTAAGCAAGTACCATGACAGGGGAGCCCCATTTTTCACAGGAAGGACGCTTAACCTAAACAAGTGGTTCAGGGACGGCCAGCTGAAAAAATGAGAAGTGTTTTTGTCCTTCAACACTTATTTTAAAATGTCATTGTTTTCTGACTTCCATTGTTTCTGGTGAGCAAGCTGATGCGAAATCTGTGTGTTTTCTATTTAGCCGCTTAAGGTTTTCTCATTATCTTTGGTTTTCAGCAACTTGACTATGATGGGCTTACATGTAGTTTCCTTTGTGTCCTGCCTGGGGTTTTCAGAACTTCTCGGATCTGAAGATTGATAAATCTTTAATTAATTTTGGAAAATTTTTAGGGATATTTTCACAAGTTTTTCTAACTCTATTTTCTCTTTTCTGGGGATCAAATTACATGTTTATTCAACTTCTTGATTTTGTTCCACAGGTCTTTGGATTTACTTTTTTTAATTCCCCCCTTTTTTCCCTCTGCTTAAGTTTCGATAATTTCAAGTGACTCCATCTTCAATTTCACTGATCTTTTTCCCACTGGTTTATCCAGGAATTAAGCATTTCAGATACTGTATTCTTGTTTATAACTTCATTTTTTGAAATTTCCAATTATTTAGTGAAATTGTCCTATCTTCCAATGTTTGTTTATATTTTTCATAAAGTCCTGAACTATTTATAATAATTATTTATAATTATTCCAATAGATGGCTCATCTGTGGGTCTATTTCTATTGATTTTTTTCTGGATTAAGGTGATATTTTCTTGTTTTACAGCTTATTATTTTTTTATCCTTTGTTGAACATTATGAATGCTATGACATAGGGGCTATGGACTGTCTTGTGTATTTCTCCTGACACTGTTGTAGGTTTTGTTTTGACAAGCAATTAATCTACTGATGGACCACGTTGGTTTTGGTGAGGTGCAGCTTTCGACTTTCTTAGGGTAGACCTATTTTAGCTTTTCTTCTAGTCCTCACCCCTCAGGAATGGCCTTTCTGGGGTCTCGGCTGAATGCTTAGGGTTTTCACCGGTCTGCCTAGGTCAGAAATCTATCATCTTTCCAGCACGGCACTACTCATGAAATGTTCGTTCCCCACTCAGTGCTCTGAGCACGTCTCATGGAGTTTTGCTCTGTCCATGAGCAGCTTTGGATTTGGCCAGGGACTTTGAGGGAACTGGTGTGCCGATGTCTGGGACCCGTTTTTTGTGGCTCTTTCCTCTGTGCACCCTGCTTTGCAAATTCCAGACACATCAGAATCTGTTTCTTCTGCCCAGAAAAACTTCCACTCTCTGCTGGGGCTCCGTGTGGGGTCTGCCTCATGTCTTTCTCCTTTTTTAGGGATGGCAGTCCTACATCATACTAATACCTAAAAACAGTTACTTCATATATTTCTTTTCCAGTTTCATAATTATCAGTGGTGGCAGGACATGTCCCATATCATCTGCTCTGTCATAACTGGAACAGGCCATCCACACTGCACTTTGTGAGGATCTATAGTAAGGTTCAGTGTTTCAGGCACGGAGTTCAAGGTGACAGTTCAAGACATGGGGCTGGACGGTGCTCACAAGCCAGACTACAGAAGGTGTTTTGTAGGCACTGACATGGTTACGTTTGCATTTCAGAAAAATCCCTAGGTTCCAATGGTTGGAGACTATGCAAGAGGAGACTGCAGGCCAAGAGACCAACTTGGAAGTCATTGTAGAAACTGTGGACTAAAATTGTGTAAGGCAGATGGAGTTTGGGGGGAGAGGAAAGAATCTGAGGAATATTGAAGAGATACAACTGACAAAACTCTACATTTGACTGTAAGTGGAGGCTGAGGTACAGAGAATCAGTAATGATTCTCGGATGTCCAACTTAAGCACATGAGCGGATACCACTGGTATTCACCAATAAAACACAAGGTGGGTGGACTTGGACAAGGGATGAGGGATGCCATCGTTTAACTTCTTGCTTTTTGGTTGTGCTGTTGAAATATTTTAAATCAAATCCTAGAAGTCATTGTTGTTCTGCCTCAACACATTTTACATTAGATCTCTAAAAATGTAGACATTTCCTCATAAAACCACATTGCTATTATCGCCCCTAGAGAAGTTACCAGTGACTGTTACCGTCCAATACACAGTCCCTATGTAAATATTCCTGATATCACAAAGATGTCTCTTCTGACCATGTACTTCTTGGAATCAAAATCTGAAGAAGGTCCACATACTGCATATTATTGTTATATCATGAATACCGTCTAACCTTGAATGGTCTTCCGTGCCGCTGATTTGTTGTCCACAGGGCGTTGCGCAATCTGGATCTGCTTCCTCATGGTGCTTTTTAACTTCTTCCCTCATATCCTAACTTTCCTGTAACTGAGAATGAGCTCCAAAGCCTTTTGCTAAGAATGCTTCATGACTAGTGCTGGGAATGTCATACCGAAGCATACTGGGGCACGTGATGTGCGGCCCTCTGCCTGCAGCCGTGCTAAGATGGATTACTCGTTTCTAATGTTGCCAGCCTGGTTCCTTGGACACGCTGGGTTTGTACTGCCAGTGGGAGAGTAAGCAGACAGGAGGACACAGGTCAGAGAACCAAGAAACACAAATATCAGAGGGACGGTCAAAGGGAAAGAGGCCCGCAAGGGAGAATTCTGGGAGGCGAGTGCCACTGAGCAGCCAGTAAGACGGGTTGAAATGTGTCTGTTGGTTTCAGCAACGACTGGTGGTTGATGATTTGCAGCGAGAGCAGTTTTAATGAAGAGATTAAGGCACAAGGCTGCAAGTTTTCACTGCTCTGTTCGTTAACTTCACTCTCCACATAGACTTTCCTAATCCTATGCTACACTCTTGCTGTGAACCGAATTAGTTTAGGAGCCAGATTTTGAAATGTTGTGCAATTACTTAAAGCTGCTGTTAGATGAAAATGTTAGAAAGCTTTTGGTTAGACTTTTCCTGTTTGTACTGTACTCTAAAATGTGACCAATGTGCATCATTTATTTTCTTATTTTTTAAAAATAGTTTGTTGTCAAGTTGGTTTCCATATAACACCCAGTGCTCATCCCCACAAGTGCCCTCCTCCATGCCCATCTCCTCCCTTCCCCTACCCCCGCCCCCATCAGCCCTCAGTTTGTTCTCAGCATTCAAGAGCCTCTCATGGTTTGCCTCCCTCCCTCTCCCCGACTGTTTCCCCCCTTCTTCTCCCCCATGGTCCTCCATTAAGTTCCTCCTAATCCACCTATATGTGCAAACACATGGTATCTGTCCTTCTCTGCCTGACTTATTTTGCTCAGCATAACATCCTCAAGAGCCTAACTGTCCATCAACTGACAAATGGATCAAGAAGGTGTGGTTTACCTATATGATGGAATACTACATGGCAGTGAGAAACAATGAAATCTGGCCTGTGTAGCTACATGGATGGAACTTTAGGGTGTTATGTTTTTATTTTTTTAACCATATCAAAAAAAGATGTGAGGCAGTAACTACATAATTACAATACTATAATTGGATTCTCTTAGGTTTCCAATCTTAAATTTTTTTTTAATCTATCAGGTATAATAGATACAATTCATAATGAATGCTGTGTGATTCCATTTATACACAGTTTTGAAAAGACAACATTTTAGAAATGGAGGGCAGATCACTGATTCCCAGGTGTTAGGGGAGGAGGGGGAGGTGGGTGGGTTTGTAAAAGGGACCCCTGAGGGATCCTTGTGGTGGCATAAATATTCTGTATTTTGAGTCTGGTGGTGGATACATGAACCTATACAGGTGATAACACTGTACAGACCAACACACACACACACACATACGTAAACGGGAAATCTGCCCAAGATGGGTAGGTTGAGTCAATCAATGTCAGTAACCTAGTTTTGCAAAGTATTACATTGAATGGAACTGGGCAGTGTGCAAGAGATCTTTTTTATCAAAACTGCATGTGAATTTATAATTATTTTAATAAAAATTCCAGTTAAAAATGAATCCTAAAGCCTACATGTGCTGTCGCCTCCTCCCTCTCTCCCAGGTTACAATGCCCCTTACCTCTCTGTGTACAGTGAAAATGCAGTGGACATCTTTGACGTGAACTCCATGGAATGGATCCAGACTGTCCCCCTCAAGAAGGTGATCCAACACCGAGATCATGTGACTAACGAATCACTGACGGAAAACAGAAGCAGGAATATTCATTTGTGCATTTTCTGTACTTACCAATGTGTATTTACTAATTTGGAGGCTAAACGGAGAGTAAAAAATCCACTCCGAAACCCAAATTGGTTAATTTTATTACTAGTACAAAAGCTATTTCATGATACATACTTGCATTATACAAAGTAGGACTGTCATGATATAAATAAATAGTACATCTATATGTATTTATAAATGTAAATATACGTCCCACATTTAATTACTTTTGTTACTAATTTTCACTTAGTATTATATTACTGCATCCCATTAAAAATTTTATAGGGTTAAAGAAATAAAGTAAATTATCAAAGCTGTGTTTAGGATTCTAAGGGATTTGCAATACAATAAAACTTTTGTATCTCTACTACAAAGAATTTTAAACATAGATAAAAATTTAAAAGTGAAAAACTGTCATTTTGTAAGAAAAGATCAGTGCAGAATTAAGAATAATTAAATAATTTTGGGGTATTTATACATAGTACAAACTATGTACCAAAAAAAGTTTACACAGGAATATGATGAAAAAAGTAGTTACAATTATGTGAGATTTTGCCTCGCTTTAAACAGTATCAGCAGCCGGAAAAGCTTTTGCAAGGACTGCCCTAAACATGGAAACGTTCCAGAGTTCTAAATGTGAATCAGCTGCATTAACTACTTGATAAAACGAATTTATGATGCAAATGAATCTTCTGAAGATAACTTTTTATCACTAATTTTTTAAGCTAATATAAAAATTGAATGTATTTCTGTTAGCAATTTTCAGGTTTCTTTAACCTATGATATTCCTGTTTCTGAAATTTTATTAATGTTAGTTTGTAACACGAGCCATTCCCTTTGACCGGTATTTGTGTTATGTTGTGTTTTGTTTTTATTTTGGGGACTATAGTATTTTGAGGGTGGGTTACATAGAATATTTTAATAATTAATGCTTTATATATAAGCAAAGAGGTTTATAACTTAATATTTAAAAGTATTTGTTGAAATGGTAATCTTACTTTTTACTATTTTAGGTTCGACCCTTGAATAGTGAAGGATCCCTAAATATTTTACTTTCGAAGACAATTAGATTAATATATTTCAAAAATAAGATGACAAGTAAGAAACGACTTCTTCTCAGAACTACTTCTAAGAGACCATGTCTCTAGTTGACTCCCCAACGTCACAGAGTGAGCGAGTGTTGGACGTGGCACTGATTCAATGCGTTGGTGGCAAAGAGTGGCTCTCCTTCACCCTTCCTATCTGTGTAGATAAAACATTTACTTCTGGAACTCTCCAGTTACTTTTCAGCAGGACTGACCCAAGCATGGTTGGACATGAGCACCTGTAAATACAAATCTCCACTTACAATGTTCACTGTGAAGACTCACTTTCCAACATGCCGAGGGTCTAAAAATGTGCGCCGCTGCAGCACATGTGCAGATAGCAGCCTCATTAGCCTAATTAACCTCATTGGCCCAGCCCTAATTTTTTTCCTTCATCTATATTTTTAGACTAGCAGATTTGGGGTATGAAAACAGCCACATGGATTCGTTTCTCTTTTTTTCTTATTGATAGGATGGAATGGGGGGTGTAGCTAAGTATTAATCTTCTAGAGCTGCCATAACCACAGATTAGCACAGAAATTTAGTGCCCCACCATTCTGGAGGCTACAAGTCTGAGATCAGGGTCTCAGCTTGTTCCTTTTGAAGGCTGTGAGAGACAATTCCCAATGACTTCATCATCTTAACTCGATCATCTACAAAGATCCTATTTCCAAATAAGGTCACATTCATAGGTTACTGGAAGTTAGGACATTAGTATCTTTTAGAAAGAGATATGATTTAACCTGTAACAAGCTGTCTTATTTCCTTTTTAAAGTCTAAGAGAGTTTTGAGGGTTTCTGGGTGACAGTTCTATTTATTTCTAGATATTAAAAACTAAAATAGAGCGGGTGTTGGACTCCTAGGGGTAAAAGGAAGAGTTGCATCCTCCTCTAAGATCAGAGGAAGCAGAGTGTAGAGGCTGATTCTTACCTTCAACAGAGGGGAGTTGGGGAGGGGTCACTTCACCCCACCTCTGCACCTCTTTCTCCCGTAGTGGGCCTCAGAAATGTTTTGCTTTGTTACAATAATTGTAATTGTTTTATTTATAGAATTACATTTTTTCCTTTACATTTTTCCCTGTAGCACAACAAAATATTCTAATGCCCTTAAGCCACAAAAATCTGGTAGGAGAAAAACAGTATAGACATGTGAGGGCCAATCAGTTGCTCTCTCCTTCTCAAGAAATGATGCTGTTTTAGAAATCTAAGTCAGCACAGATTTATTTTTCAAGTACTGCTTAAATTGAACCTTAAATTCTGTTCATTAATGCTCCATTCCTATTCTTGACAATGGATTATGGATGCCATAAGCATCCAGTTTTAACTTTTAAGCACTAGAGCACTATATTTGCGCAGTTCCTTTATTGTGAGATTAACTGAAATTAATGGGTAAGGGGGCATTTTTAACAGTTTAAAGGATGCTATTGTTTTATGTGTTTAAAAACATGTATAGATGGAGATGAGCTGGTATTTCCTGAAACATCAGATAATCATCAGAAGCAAATGGTCCAACATCTTCACAGCAAGTGTCGATATTCCTTCAGAGTACCTACAGGGAAGGGAAATCCACCCACAGGGCTGTGACCACCACCCCTTGCATGTGAGCCAGAAGGACCACTCCAGAACCCTGTGCTATGTGATGTGATTGGGAAGAAGAAACCAGTTGCTTAAACTCGGGCAGAAACTTCTGTTCACATCAGTGTTAATGTTTATTTCTCTGTGAAACTGGAAAGAAACCCTTTTTGTAGTAAGTACAAATGGAAGTGTAATGTTGACTCCTACCTCTGTGAATGTGGAATAAGTGAAATTCAGTATGTAAGCCTCCATGTCACAAATATACAACAAATGTGTATACACATCCTAATGTTATACCCCATACCTGTTTTGTGAACAAATAAATTATTTGCATATGCATGTGTGGGTTGATTACTCTCTGACTCTGGATGTGTTTTGCTTTGACTTTAGGATAGCCTTTGTTAATGAGCCATTCCTTCGTAATCTCTGTAACTGAATAGGCAGAAAAAATAGACTGATCTCTGGATTACAAATAAAACATTCCTGAAGTCATGCAAATTCTTTGAAAAGAGGCATAATCATATGAAAAATATCTAATGGCAGAGCTTCTCTGATGTCTGTGGCTGTTTAAGGTAATGATTTCTACCAAAACCCTCAGTTTTTCGAGTTTCAAATTTTCAAGTCTTTTTGGAAGAAAAGAGAACTGTTAAAATCTTCATCTTAATGGAAAATGGAAATTGTGGATTTCTCTATTTTTTCCTTTCACATCCAACAAATTTGGCTTCGTATGTTTTTGAAGCTTTCTTATCGGATTCACATGCATTTAGGATACTTATGTTAGATATGATAATTGATCTTATCATTATGAAAATCTCATCTTTCTCATTAATAGTGCTTATCAAGGAATCTCCTCGGTCCAATATTCATATAGCCGCTCTAGCAGATCTTACTTTAGAATTTGCATTATCTTTTTTCCATCCTTCACTCTTAACCTACATGTGTTTTTAGATTTAAAATCCGTTTCTTATATTTGGCATATGATTAGGTCTTGCTTTTCATCAAGTTTCATAACGTTCATGTTTTAATTCGGAGGATTTTGAACATTTACAATTAATATAAACATAGTGACGTGTTTGGCTTTACATAGACTATCTTTTTTGTTTGCTGTATCTCTTATTTTTCTTTCTTGTCTGTTCCTGTATTCTTTGGAATTGATTTTGTATTCTATGATTCCATTTTTTCTGATATAGCTCTTATTCGTACCACTTTAACTTTGGGTGATGGTTTTCCAACTTATTTTTTACAATTCTAATTCCAATTAAGATATGTGAGTTTTCCAACACCCCCAAGCAATTCTCTAACATCGGGGGGTGTCCTACAATATGCATGTCAGTTTTGACACAATCTACCTGGAGACACTGTCAGATCACACAGTCACTTAGCTCCACAAGACTGCCCACTCCCCTCCACTTCAGACGTGAGTTGCAAGCCCTGGTTGTCACCTACAAGGGTACAGATCACAGGCTCCAACAACTCCCCTTGGGTTCAATTAACTTGCTAGATTGGCTCACAGAACTCAGAGAAACATTTTACTTATTACTGGCTTATTATAAAAGGAACTCAGGAACAGCTAGATGGGAAAAATGCATTGGACAAGTTCCAGGGAAAGGACATAGGTTTCCATGCCATCTCCTAGCCCCCATCTCCCTGAACCTCCATGTATTCACCAAGCCGGAAGCTCTCTGAACCTTGTCCTTCTGGGTTTCTATGGAGGCTTCATGACATAGGCATGACTGATTATACCAATTGGCCATTAGTAATGGATTCAACCTCCACCCCTCTCCCCTCCCCAGAGGCTGAGGAGAGTGGGACTGAAAGTTCCAACTTTCAAATCACATTCTAATCACATGGGTTCCCTGGTGACCAGGCCCATTCTTAGTGCTTTCCAAAGTCACCTGATTTAACATAACAAAAGACACCTTTATTACTCTCATCCCTTTGGAAATTCCAAGGGTTTTAGAAGGTCTGTGTCAGAAAAGTGATGAAGACCAAATAGGTATTTATTATAAATTACAGTATCACAATTATGCATCTTTAACTTGTAACTATTTACCCTGAAATAATGGTACCAATTCACCTATAATGTAAAAACCTTGTAATATAGTTCCATTTAATCCTCCAATCTTTTGTGCTATTATCATATGTTTTGTTTCTGTTATTATATTTTTCATTATACCTACTTGGGTATTATTTTTGCTTAAACAGTAAATTATCAAGAATTCATTTTATTTACTTATTTTTTTAAAATTTTTTTAATGTTTATTTATTTTTGAGTGGGAGAGAAAGAGAGACAAAGCACGAGCAGGGGAGGGGCAGAGAGGGAAACACAGAATCCGAAGCAGTCTCCAAGCTCTGAGCTGTCAGCACAGAGCCTGACATGGGGCTTGAACTCACAAACTGTGAGATCATGACCTGAGCTGCAGTCGGATGCTTAACCAACTGAGCCACCCAGGCACCCCTTTATTTACTTATTTTTTAATGTTTATTTTTGAGAGTAAGAAACACAGAGTATGAGCAGGGAAGGGGCAGAGAGAGAGAGAGGGAGACACAGAATCTCAAGCAGGCTCTGGGCTCCGAGGTGTCAGCACAGAGCCTGACACTGGGCTCGAACCCAGGAACAGGGAGATCATGACCTGAGCCGAAGTCAGATGCCGAACCAACTGAGTCACCCAGATGCCCCAAGAATTTATTTTAAAACAGTAAAAAATTTTATATTAATTCACATATCTACCATTTTTGGCCCTCTTCATTTTTAATGATTTGTTCTATATGGTAACTGACTTTTGAAGAGATAAGCTTAGTTGTCTTATAAAATGTCCCACTCTCTGGGCTTGTTTTATTTTTATTGTTGTCATTCCTTCACTCTCCAAGTGGGATGATCTATCAGACACATATTGTACACAGGCAGGCAGAGCGAACAGCATTTGTTAATGCACACCAGTTGTTGTCAACTGGAGGCTATTTTTCAGGGGACATTTGATAAAATTTAGATGCTACTGGCATCTAGTGGGTAGAGGCCAAGTGTGGTGCTAGAGAGCTTTCATCGCACAGATCAGGTGCCAATGACAAGGAACTATCTTGCCCAAGACATACATAGCATGGAGGCTGAGAAATCCTGATGCTGATGCCTGACCTCCTAGGGCTAGTTCAGAAAACTCAGTATTTTTGTGTGGTTGGAATGAACTGTGCAGTGCTGGTGAGAGCGCCCAATCCAAGGAAACATGGAGGGCAAGGGGTCAGACAGACCGGGGTCCCAAGCATAGTGCAACAAGGTTTGGATTTCATCCTGCAGGACAGAAAACACTGAATTATTAACTGCGGAATTAACACCAATAACACCGTTTGAAAAGATCTCCCCATCGGGAATACAGATGCATGCGGCGCAACGGGGCAGCTGCAGTAATTCGGAGAGGCCATGAGGAGGGCTCTAAAGAAGGTAAATGACTTAATCGCCTCTTTGGAACGCGAGGAGGATGAACCGAAGCAGGACCCCTAGGCTTGGAGCCTGACAGCTGCGTGAACGTTCTCCTCCCGTGGGGTCAGGAACGCGGGGCAGAGGAGCAGCCTCGGGGCGGGCGGTGCGCGGTCTGAGATCCCCGCACGGCGTGCAAGGGGCCGCGTCTGGGAAGCGGGCGGGCTTGTGCTCGGAGGGGGCCGAGTCCTCAAGGGAAGGAAGCATTTAGGCAATGGCTGAAGTAACAGCTGAAGGAGCCCAGGGGACGGGACCACTGCGAGAAGGAAACCCAGGCAAAGGAAAGAACCGCGACCACCCTCAGGAAGTGAATCCCAGGCGGGAATTTCAACATGTTCGAGTGCTGCCGCAGACGGCCCGTTACAGACTTAAGTTATGGCCCCAAACTTGTCCCCTAAGGGGCTCAGACTGTCTCCGAAGCGCCGGCAGGGCAGAGGCCGGAGGGTTGCGGGGGCGGGGAACGCCGGGGCCAGACCCGACCGCGCTCAGGTCGGAGGGGTTGGGAGGGGCGGCTGTCCCGTTCACCAGGCTGGTGTCACGGACTCTCTGCCGGAGCGCGAGCCTCCCCCTCCCGCAGGCGGCCGTGCACGGAAGCCCACCGCACCCCGCACCGCTTTCTCACTCCCCACCCCCGGCCCAGCGATCGGGGCCTACCTGCTCCGGGCTCGCGGCCCCTGGCGGGCCAGGGAGTCTCCCGGAGCCAGCGCGGCCTGGCCTGGAGCGGGGCCGCGCACCGGAGAAGCTGACCCGTCGCCCCGGCGGGGACGGCCTGCGACAGACACCGCCATTCCCACGTGTCCCCTTCACGGCGTCGACCGCGGCCGCGTGGTTGCCTCTCTGGAGCTCGCCGCACAGCACCCTGGGAACGAACTCCCGCCGTGCCGTGTGCGCATGCGCAGCCCCGCCTCTGGCCGCCCCCGGAAGTCAACTCGGGGATAGAGGGCGCGGAAGCAGGCGCCTGCCAGTCCCTGCGGGTCAGGTGTGCAGGCGGCCGGGAAAGCGCGGGCTGCGGGTCTGCAGGGGAGACTGGCAGCAGGAGGGCCCAGGGCAAATTCTAGCTGCCACCGAGTAACCAGGGGCGGGGTGAGAGACTAGAGACGCTCAGGGCCCTCCTCTGTCCGTGGGCATTGCCAGGGACCCCTGCTCGCTCTGACCATCAACTAGGATGCCACCTGTGAAGGATGAGCCGCATGCCAAGTTTTAAGTTGAGTGTAATTTGGATTCCGAAGACACTTTGCTCTTCTTTGTATTCAATTCTACATTAAAAAAAAAAAAAAGACAACAACTATAAAACAGGTGCAGAGAGATGGTGGGATATACTTCTTGTCACAAGCTGTTTGGTGACGGAGTTCAAGTTCAGAGGCAGATTTGGCTTCCTCCCAGTCTCATTTGCCTTCTGAGACCCTTTCTGCCACTCAGCGGTGCAGTGTTTACTGCACTAGGTGCGTACTTGGGGACGTGACGATGAAGTGAGCGCGGAGTGCATCCCACCCTGTGGCGAATCAATTTCTTGTGTTCTGGACCCTCTAATCTCTTAAGGAGACTCCTGGTCCCTGGTGTGGGTTCCAGACTTTCCACAGGTGGCACAATCTACTACCTCAGGGAGTTCCAGAGGAGGAGAGTGTGGGGCGTGGATGAAGGTTCCAACCGAGATGAATTTGTTTTGCAGAACCTGGTTCCAACATTCCTGGAACAAAGCAATTCATAGGAGCTCGGAAGGGGCCCCTGGCATAGAACTCCTACCTGCAGGGAGAAAAACGCTCCTCTGCTTCTCACCAGAGCTGCAGAGCAGAGGTGGAAGAACAGGGAGAGGAGAAGGGTCTAGCTTTGAACAATCACAAGCAATTCTTGGTCTTCCTGACCAGAG